ACAAGTCTGATGACCTGAGTTTCATCTTTAGAACCTGTATAAAATGCTGGATGTGGTGGAGCACATCTGTAGTCCACCATTACCATGGAGAAATGGGAGGCAGAGATTGAGTGGATCATCTAGCAGTTCATGGGCCAGCTAGCCTAAATTTTGCAGAGCAGCAGAAACAAGAGAGACCCTGCCTCAGAAAAAGGGAGAAGGCTGGGCATGGTAGCACATTTCTTTAATCCAAGCACTTGGGAGACAAAACAGGGATCTCTGTGGGATCAAGGCCAGTCTAGTCTACATAGCAAGTTTCAGGACAGCTAAGGTTACAGGGGGACCCAGTATAAAAAAGAGGGGGCATGGGCGCTGGAGAGATGACTCAGTGGATAAGAGCACTGGCTACTCTTGCAGAGGACCTGGGTTCAATTCCCTGTACCAATATGGTGGCTAATAACCATCCCTAACTCCAGTTCCAGGGAATCCAATGCCCTCTTCTGACTTCCACAAGCATTCCAGGCCACAGGTACACTTATATAAATGCATGCAAAATACTCATACACATAAAATAAAAATCAAAAAAGTTTTTTTTAAAAAGGTAGGAGAGAACCAACTCCTGAAAGTTGTCTTCTGACCTCCATACATGTGTTCTCTCTCTCTCTCTCTCTCCCTCTCTCAGTGATATTATAAAAATTAATTAAAAACAATAAGATCACTACATACTGATTGATTAAGGGAACAATACTCTGAGAATGTTGTAATTTTAAATGTATATGCACTGAAATGTAAATGGGTACACCCCACTGCATTAAAAAATACTACTAGATATAAAGACACAGTTTAATCTCCACACAATAATAATGGACAATTTCAGTACATAGGCCAATAATAGATTTCACCAATAAATAGATCATACTGACAAAAAATAAATGAGGAACGGGAGTTAAATGGTATCATAGATCATGAACCTAACAGAATCTACAGAACAACCCATCCAAACACTGCAGACTACACATTCTTGGCAACAGTGTACTACTTTCTCTAAAATAGACCATATATTAGGGTATGAAGAAAGTCTGAACAAATAAAGGAAAACTGAAATCAACTCTTGTATCTGAAATAAGACTAGAAATCAGCAGCATGAGAAACTCTAAAACATTCACACATGCAGATGAAATAACACATTACTGAGTGGTGGGTAGGTCATTAAAGAACTCAAGAACAAAATCAATAGATTCCTAGAATCAAATGAAAATGGAAAGACAGCATACCAACACCTGTGGATTACAATGAAAGCAGGTTTAGAAGGAAGTTTATAGCTATTAGTGCCTATATAAAAAACAAACAAAAAACCAGGGGCTGGAGAAATGGCTCAGCACTTAAGAGCACTTGCTGCTCTTGCAGAGGACCTGGGTTCAATTCCCAGCACCCACAAGGTGGCTAACAACCATCTGTAATTCCAGTTCTAGGGAAGTCTGACGCCTACAAAACCCTCAAGCAAACCCTCAGGCAAATTTACCATGAGGAAGAAAAAGAAGGATCAAATTTGTAAAAATATAGATGAAAAAGATTATAACAGATATCAATGAAATTCAGAAAATCTTTACGATATACCTTGAAAACATATTCCACTAAATTGGAAAATCTAAAAGACATGGATGAATTTCCAGACTCATCTGGTATACCAAAATTAAACCAAGATGAGATAAACAATTTAAACAGATTTTATAACAAGCAATGAGCTTGAGGCAGTAATTTAAAAAAATCTCTTAACTAAAAAAACCCACACCCAGATGGATTCATTGCTAAATTCTACAGGACCTTTAAGGAAGAACTAATGCCAACACCCTTCAAACTATTCCATAAAACAGAAAGGAAAAATGCTATCAAACTCTTTTTATGAAGTCATTGTGATCTTAATACCAAATTCAGATAAAGACGCAACAACAACAAAATTATAGACCAATCTCCCTGTTAACCATATATGTAAATATTCTCAGTAAAATACTTCCAAATTGAATTCAAGATCACATCAAAAAGATTATTCACATGATCAAGTTGACTTTATTCCAGAGATGCCAGAATGGTTCAACACATGCAAAACAATAAATGTAATACATCCCATAACTGACTCCAGGGACAGAAATCACATGATCATCTCAGTAGATGCAGAAAGGGTTTTTAGCAAAAACCAACATCCTTTCATGATAAAAGCTCTGGAGAGACTAGAAATGGGGGGACACATCTCAACATAATGAAGGCAGCATATGACAAATCTATAGCCAACAGTACAAATGGAGAAAAATTCAAAGTGTTTCCACTAAAATCAGGAACAAGACAAGAATGTCCACTTTCTCCACTTTTATTCAACATAGTGCTTGAAGTCTTACTATAGCAATAAGACGAGAAGTAAATATAAAATATCTTTATTTGCAGATATGACTCTATACATAAGAGATCTTAAAGACTCTACCAAAAAACTTTTAGGTTTGATAAACACTTTCAACAGAGTGGCAGGATAAAACATAACAAACAAAAACTAGTAGTTTTCCAATATACCAATAACAATCATATGAGAAAGAAGTCAGGGAAACAATCCCATTTTAAATTACCTTGAAAATAAAATACCATGGAACAAACCTAACCAAGAAAGTGAAAGACTTCTACAGTGAAAACTTTAAAACACTCAAGACAGAAACTGAAAAAGACACTAGAAAATGGAAAGATCTCTCATTCTCATGGATTGGAAGAATTAATATTGTGAGGATGCTTCTATTGTGAAGAGAGCTATATTGCCAAAAACAATCTACAGATTCAATGCATTCCCCAACAAAATTCCACAATTAGTCTTCACAAAAATAGAAAAAACAATCTTAAATTTCATATGGAAGCACAAAGATCCTCTGGCCAGCTGAAGAAATCCTGAGCAAAAAGAATTCTGGAGATATCACCATATCCATATCTGATTTCAAGTTGTACTACAGAACTATGGTCATAAAAACAACACAGTACCAACACAAAAACAAACATGTAGATCACTGCAATGGAATGGAAAACCCAGATATAAGTCCACACAGCTACAGCCACCTGATCTTTGACAAAGATGCCAAGAATACACATTGGAGCAAAGATATCATCTTCAATAGATAGTGTTGAGAAAACTGGATTATCTATATGCATAAGAATGACACGAGAGCCCTAGCTCTCATCCTGTACAAAATCAACTCCAAAAAGATCAAAAATCTTAATGTGAGACTGAAACTGTTAGAGGAGAAACATTTCATGATCTAGGCACAGGCAAGGACTTTCTGAATTGGACTCCAATCACTCAGGAAATAATGTCAACAATTGACAAATGGGACCTCTTGACATTACAAAGCATCTATACAGCAAAGAAAACAGTTAATTGAGTGAACAGACAGTCTACAGAATGGGAGAAAACTCTTTGTCAGCTCGGTATCTGACAGAGGATTCATATCTAGATTATACAAAAAACTCAAAACACTCAAGAAATTACACAACCCAGTCAAAAAATGGGCTATGAAATGGACAGTTCTCAAAAAGAGTAAATACAAATGGCCAATAAACATATGAGAAAAAGTTCAACCTTACTAGCCAACAGTGAAATGCAAATTAAAACTGTATCTCATCCCACTCAAAGTGGCAGTCACTAAAGAATATCCTGCTGGTGGGAATGTGAACTAATTCAGCTGCTATGGAAGTCAGTATGGAGGTTTCTTGAAAAGCTAAAAATAGGGGGCTGGAGAGATGGCTCAGTGGTTAAGAGCACTGGCTACTCTTGCAGAGGACCTGGGTTCCGTTCCCAGGACCCACGTGGTGGCTAACAATCATCTGTAACTCCAGTTCCAGGGCAATTTGACATCCTCTTCTGACCTCTGCAGGCATTGCACATGACACAGGTACATTTCCACACATGCAGTTAATACACTCATATGATAATATATAAAGTAATATTATATAATATATATAAATAAATATATATACATATTTTTAGCCAGGCGTGGTGGCACTTGCCTTTAATCCCAGCACTTGGGAGGCAGGGGCAGGTGGATCTCTGTGAGTTCAAGGCCAGCATGGTCTACATAGTGAGTTCTTTTTTTTGTGTACATATGTACATATATATGTAAAAGAAGATACATATATATACATATGTACATATATATGTATGTATATTGGTATAGCTGGGTCATATGGTAGATTTACATATGACCCAGCTATACCACTTCTGGATATTTACCCAAAGGACTCCAAGTCAACCTATCACAGGGACACTTACACATCAGTGGGTATCATGGCACTATGCACAATATCTAAGTTACAGAACCAATGTAGGTATCCAAGAACAGAGGAAGGGGTAAAGAAAATAGAGTATATATACACAATGGATTTTTTCAACCATAAAGCAGAAAGAATTATGTTTTCATGAAAAATGGATGCAGCTGGAGATAATCATATTAAGTGAATTCCACCAGTCTCAGAAAGATAAATACCATTTGTTGTCTCTCATTTGCAGTTCTTAGGTTTCAAACAGATACATAAAATCATGTGTGTGCATATGGCATGAAAGTTGAAGTAAAACTGTTTAGAGGAACAAGGAAGCCTGACAGGAGGCGGGGATGTGGAAGCAAACTGGGCATGAGAGGGATGTTCCCAACATACAGTATATACTCTATGAAAATATTAGAGTATTTCACTGGACCATTTACAATGAACATACACTACGACTTCTTTTTAAAGAGTAAATATTCACCTGTATCAGATTAGGTGATCAGTAAACATTAACTAACTTGATAAAACAGAGAGTTGAGACCTATCAGGAACAGACCCACCTACTTGTGCCTGAGGGCAATGAAAGTGTTTGCTGAAGGATGTCTAAGTCCTTTTTGAATCAAATTACTAGAGCAAAGGGCAGGCTCCTCCAGTTAAAGAGCTGGAGGCGGAGCTTAATGAGGAAGTGCCTTCCTTCCAGAGCCTTTCTCCTCTGCTTTAGTCTTAAACCCGAGGTGCCTGCTGCAGGCGCTTCCAGTCAGAAGAACCCTTGTGAGAAGCCAAGAAGATCTGTGGAAGGTTTCCTCTTACATTGTGTTTGGAGAGACTCAGATACACAAATAGCCACCTGCCACCTGCATTGAAGCAAGAGCAATCGCTGCAGCCTGAAGACCAGGTAACCTCAGAAGGCAGCAGTGTGAGTCTGTGCCCTCGTGGGAGTCACAGCCTGGCTGCATTTGTCAAGGGAGGCCATCTAACTCTGTTGAGCAATGTTAATACAAAGTTCTTAGGTCAGCCTCAAGATGCAAGTAGGCATGGAGAAGTTAGTTTGTGGGGTTTCCAGGAAAGGGAGAGGAAGGTTATGAAGGTTTCTCTTTTTATTTCTCCTACAAAGGGGTTTGGATAGTACTTAAGAGTTCACAGCTGGATGGGGCCTTTTTAACATGTGGTCCTTTCTTATATATGACAAAGTGTGGGATGGCATCATAGCCATTCAGAGACCATGAAGAGACCATGACTCCTCTTTAGAGCAAAGATGGGGTTCAGAATGGGGATCCTGGAAATGGAACCCAGAGATCTGAGCACCTTTCATGAATTGGGGTACTCAGCCTAGTTCTAGAGATTTCCTTACTGGTCCCGCCTTCCCACTCAGAGCTTTCATCCTTCTGCATGATAAATAGACCCAGGACTTCACCTCTGTTTGGCTTTGGTTGTAAGAGGTTAAGACATTTCCTCTCGTTCCTCATTTCATCTTCAGGATTGAAGAACATGTCTTATCCTTGGAGATGACAGACAGGGCAGGAAGACTAGAGGTACAAAGAGGTCTGGAAAGAGGAAGGGAGGGGAAGGGTAGACAATGTCTACCAGGCAAGAGGGACCCAGGATGCTGAAGGTGCAAGTCAAGGTGACCAGACGAAATGGAGCGTACAGTGGGGTCCCTGGGAGGAGTCTTAGTACACGCGAGTTATTCACAAGCCTCAGTTCTATGTCCAAGGCAAACGGAAGTCAGCTCTTTTGCTGGGCCTGTGTGGTTCTCCAAAGGCAGAAGTGAGGTAAACTAAGCCTAAGTTCCAACTGCAGCACAATCCAGGCGGTAGACTGTGACAGCATCTGCATGCAACCGTGAAATTTCCCTGCTATTTCCTCTGTGTGCTCACCCATCACCAGGAAGGGAAGTGAAATCTTACCTCCATCAACAAGTCCACAGAGTAGAAAACTACCCCAGTGTGACTGACTGGTCCCTGCAGTGTGGTCTTCCCAGAACACTCAGCACACTGCCCAGCAACCATGTTTGCAGAGGATGCTGTCAGAGACACCTTCAGGAAGGGAAAGGAGTTAACATAAGGGCTGTGTAACCTTGCCTTTGAGAATGTGAGGGATCTGATCAGGAGGAGGAGATAGCTGTGGAGTGGGGGGGCGGTGCATCCCTGAACCCCTAATTTAACATAAGCCCTCTGAAAGCAGCCCTTTGGGCATCCATGAGCATAAAACTTACCTTTCTGTTTCTGTGAGCCCAGAAGTTGGCCCATCTTCTGTTAAATAGAAAGGTTACTAGGCAGAGAAGAGAGAGCATCAAAGATGTGATCAGTTCACTTGCCACTTTAGAATAAGACAGACCCGTCAGCTTAGCAGTAGCTCTCCATGAATTTATGAGAAAAATACCACACTAGTTCAATACTTGAAAATTTTAAAATTTTATTTATTATTTGAGAATTTCATATATACATGCAATGTATTTTGCTCTCTCTCTCTCCCTCTCTCTCTCTCTCTCTCTCTCTCTCTCTCTCACACACACACACACACATACATACACCTAACTTTTTTCCTATGGTCCAGGCTAGCCTCAAAGTAGTTACCCTTTGGCTCAGCCTCTTTGCGTGCTGGGATTACAGGAGTATACTACCACTTCCAGCTGTCCACCACACTCAAAGTAACCTCACTGACATTTTTCTCTAACACTTTCCTTTGTCCACATGTGTTCTAGGCATCACCTTGAGCATCGTCTTGCTTTCTGTTTTAGTTTCTCTGTTGGTTGGATCTCATCCCTAGATCCTCTCTAACCTACAAGACAAAAGCCTCCCCTTTTAGATGGAAGGACTTCAGGCTCCCTAACCTCAGTGGGTTTCTCCCATTTTTGACATGGCTCCCAAGTCAGCCATTTAGGAACTTGTTTCTCAAAGAAGTCAGATCCTTCCTGTCTCTAGCAACACACATACACAAGTGGGATCTTAAAGCTACATTCACATTTTGTCCTGCATTGAAAAAGTCTGTGAAAATTTTCTTAAGTGCCAGTGGTGATGTAGTGTTGACTCTAGCACAGGGCTCGCCCTCTTCCCCAAAGACATAGCTCCTAAGAGACAAGTGTCCCGCTGCTGCTTGTCTCCCAGATTTATTTATTTATTATTTTATTTATTTGTTTGAGACAAGGTCTCATTATGTAGACCAGGCTGACCTGAAATTCACAGAGATCCACCTCCCCCTCCTCTGCCTCCTGAGTGTTCCACCATGTCCAAAATGGCCAATTTACAGTGAAATTTCCAAAATCTTCCCTCTGAGAAATCCCAGCTCAGTTCCACTGTGGTGGAAGACTGTGGCTGCACTTTGGGGCTGGTTGCTTTGTTTACATGTGTTCACACTTGGTTATCTGAAGCTGGTTTATAGGCTTGGGAGGGGTTGCATACATGTCTACATGTATAGCAGGTGTCGGGTTTTACAAGTCTGCCTGTTATTGCCCTGGGAAACTCATTTCTGCTCCATATTCACCTGACTTCCACCAGCCCAGCTCCCTGCTGCTCCTGGCTTCCTTCCATCAGAACTTGCCTAGCCAGGGGCCTTCGCTCTCTCAGTGCCTGGCCACTAAGCTACTCCTCAGAGAGGCCGGCTCAAGCTTCTTCAAAATGTAGTAGGGAAATTGCCACAGGAACATGATGTATCCAGCAGGCCTGCGGAGTCCTATACCTCCTTCAAATGGCAGAGCCAGAGAGAAAAGTTAGAGAATGTTTTCAGTCTAGACAAGAGAGGGTCTTTTTCATCGTTTTCTTATGGTATGAGGAGCCCAGGATCTTGTCAGTGTTCAGCAACTGTGTTACACTGAGCTATACCCCTTATTCTTGATCCTCAGTCTGTAAGAAAAACGAAGACCAAAGAGACTGAGTTGCCTAGCAATGAGGTGAGTTTAAAGCTGTCAAACTCTGACCATGAGCTCCACAACCTAGTCCAATCCGTGTGTACCATGTCCTACCTCAAGCCCTGTCTCCCCTACCCTGTTTATTTGTAGGTTGATCCTGGTATGACAGGATACAGTCGATGTGCCAATGGATTCCATTAAGACCATTATAGCTTGTTTATGATCACACCATCTTCAGCTTACAGGACAAAGACAAACAGGACCCACAAGGGAGGGACACAAGGTTAAGAGCCCCGCCAAGAACTACACGATGATGTTTTGGTTAATGATGGCCCAATACAAAATATACGAATGGTCGCTTAAGATCCCTTAAGTGATGTGATAACCCTCTCAGCTTGTGTCAACAACTGGCTGTGTTTACACAGTGTTGTCTAGTGACATAATTTTCAAAACATGTCCCTGTCATTGTTTGATGCATGCACAACTGTAGCAGAATAAAATAACAGCTTCCACTTTTTCCCCCTTTGCAATCTTACTGCGTAGCCAAGGCTGGCCTAGAATGTGCAATTTTCCTGCCTCAGCCTCCTGACTGCTGAGCGTGAATATCATGCCTAGCATAGCTAGCATTATATACATACATATATGTACACATACATTATTATTACTGTTATTGTTGTTGTGTGAATGTGATGTATGCATGCATGTGTTTGTGCACATGCCATAGTGTGCACGTGGAGATCAGAAGACCATTCTGTGAAGTGAGTTCTGTCCTTCCACCACATGCATTTTGGGGATTGAACTCAGGTCCCCAGGCTTACACATCAAGCACCTGACCTCCTGAGCCATCTTACTGCCCTATAGCCATGCCTCTTTTTTCTTTGCTTTTGTTTTGTTTTTTGTTTGTTTTCTTGAGACGGTCTTACTATGTAACCCTGGCCAGCCTGGTACTCACTATGTAGGCCAGGCTGGCCTTGAACTTACAGATATCCTCCTGCCCCTGCCATTTCTAAATGTGTGGTGATCTAAGGAATCACATCCTCTCCTGCCATAACACAGAAAAGCTCCCAACTGGCTCCATTAGTATTTTTCAATTTTATTAATTTAATAAACAGACAACAGGGTACTTTGACCCAATGGAATCTTACCTAGAGAAGCAAATACAAGAAACAAGCAAACCCAGTCAAGCTGATGTGGAAAGAGCCACAAAGGGAGAAAGGAAAGGGTCAAGGGATCTCAACCGGCCTCCAGGCTCATAGCCTCAGGCTCCCTTTGAAAGGATCTTTAGGAGAAGCAGCAAGCTCTCAGCCTGGGGTCCAAGACCCCAGAATCTGGCCCCAACTGCCTTTGTTTCCCCCACCCTGCACTATTCCTAAGTCCTCGCCATCCATAGATATTTATGCTGTACCACTCTCAGCATCCTTAGGATATGTCCTGACATCCTCCCCACGCTGCGATCTGCCACGCAGATCTTAACCTGAACATACATTCCCTGTCTGGCCCTGTATCTTTCAAGACGTCCCTCTATCTGAAGCTGATTTGACCCTGCCTCCCATACTTGGCAGTCTACCTCTCCCTTAAAGCCCTCAGTCCATTTTCTACCTGGAGTTAAGTATATTTATATCTCTGTTTCTGTCCCAGCAATAGGGTGGCTTTTCTGATGCTGGTTACTCCTGGTTGCCTAGCAACACAGAATCCGGACTCAGAAAACAAGTCTGTTGAGTTTTTCTCCAGTTTCTCCTAACTTTCAGAGTAAATGTCCCCACACGTAAAGGGACACCGTGTGGCCTTTGTCATTCCAGATCTAACATGTGCAGCACCAGTGCGTGTGACCTGGAAGACGTCCCCCTGGAGGATGATGACCCAAACAGCATCGAGTACAAAATCCTGGCCTTTTACACCAGACACCATGTGTTCAAGGGCACCTCAACTGTCTTCTCATCCAAGCTTTCCAGAACAAGAAGTTTGTCCCAGAAAGCTCTGGGGACTTGGTCAGCTGATTCATGGACACAGGTGTCATTACCTTGTAGAAGTTCCCACTCCAGCGAAAAACACATGAGCCTTGGCAAGAAAAAGTCTTCTTGGAGAACACTCTTCGGAGTAACAGTGAAGGATGAAGGTCCACAGAGCTCCCCCAAAGAGGTGCATGCTCAGGACCCCATAGCCATGGAGAGCCAGGGCGGCTTCCATAACCAGTGGACCAGGTTCCTTTCCAATGTGGACCAGCGCCTGGAGAGTGAAGGTAGGATTGAGGGGGACTCTCACCAGCACCTAGCTCGTTTCTTTGTGTGTGGAGTGGTCTGTTCCCATGAGCTGAGGACAGGCTGTCTACAGGGGTCCCTCAGGCCTAAGCACTCCTTAGTCTTCTACCATAACCACCACACTTTCCCCAAGAAAGGAAGAAGTTGGGAATAAAGGGTGACTACCATGGTTTTCTGGCTCCATGACTATGAAAAAGCTTGCTACCCAAATTCCTGGTCATCTCTGCTGGAGAGCTGCATAAAGGCAGGCACCTTAGCAGGGCTGAGGCTGTGCCGCCTCCTAAGCCAGTTGACCTCCAGGGCCCTTGGACACTGTGTTTACATCTGTACACTGGGGGAGAGCTCATCCTCCCCCACTTCTTACAGTTAATGGAACGATCAAACAGGAGAGGGAGGCAGGAGGATCAGGGGTTCAAAGCCAGACTTGACTACTTAGTGAGTTTGAGGCCAGCCTGGGCTACTTGAGACCCTATCTCAAAAAACAAAAAAACGAGAGAGAGCAAGAAGAGAGAGGAGAAAAGAAATGGGAGGGGGATGAAAGAGAATAATGGGGGTCAAAATGATGAAAATACATTATATACATGTATGAAACTTCCAAAGAACACTTTTTATTAGTTCTTTGATAATTTCATACATTTTTTTAGACAGTAGCTCTCATAGCCCCCACCTGACCTGGAACTCACTATGTAGACCAGGCTGGCCTTGATCTCACAGAGATCCACCTGCCTCAGCCTCTGCATGCTTGGATTAAGGGATGTTCCACCATGCCCAGCATTGTTTTTATTTTTTAAAGAAATTTTATTTATTTCTTTATCTTTTATGTGGATGAGTGTTTTGCCTTCATGTACTCATGGAGGCCAGAAGAAGGCACTGGATCCCATGGAACTGGAGTTACATGTGGTTGTTAACCACCATGTGAATGCTGGGAACTGAACCTGGGTCCTCTGCAAGAGCAGCCAATGCTCTTAACTGCTGAGCCATCTC